CCAAGGCCTTTCCCCCAGTGGTGGTGGCGGGGTTGTAGGCTTCCATGACTCTCCCCTCCCTGCTGGCTGTTGTCCGAGTGGGAGAGGGACACGCGTGGTGCAGCATGGCAGCTCCCAAGCCCCCTCCCCGAGCCCTGGCACAAAGTTGTGCCCTTGCCCACCCAGGCCAGCCAATTGCTGCCCACCCCCTCAGTGGCACATGCACAGTTGTCCCGGAGCATTACGGATGGACAGACAGACAGATGGACTAAGTCTTTGATTATATTAGAACTAGCATACTATCCTGTTTTACCCCCTGTGCCATGGCGAACCTGACCCTGTTTCCCACCCCCACTGTGGCAGTTCCAACCCCGTTTTTCTCCTCCCTATGCTGTGGTAGCCCCAACCCCATTGCCCCCCTGCTCTCCACCACGGTGGGCCCGATCCCAGGAGTAGGGGATGAGGAGCTTGCCCCTCTGTACCCTTCAGACAGCATCCTGTGCCTCCACCACCTCTAGGGAGCAGGGCGGGAAGGGCGAGGGCAGCAGTGCTGGCCTTGCCGCCCTCTCCCACTCCGTTGCCCTGTCCCTGCTGTCATGGCAGTGCGCCGCCGCCACCACTTCCTGTCCGAAACGCTCTTGGTGCACTCTGATTGGCTGCTGAGACAACAAATCAGAGTGAAAATGAAGTGTTACAGACAGACAGACTAAGGCTTTTATATATATACTGTCCAATTGCCTGTCAAGAATGACCAGGGGTGAGGGTGGTGGGGGCTGGGAGGTAGTGCTGCCACCCAGTACCCCATGCTGCTGCTGTTCTGCCTCTTGCTGGGAGCAGGGTGGGGGAGCCCAAGCTCCCCCACCCTCTGTCTGGTCCTCGGCGGCTTCAGAATCATGGCGGCGCTCCCCCATGCTTGGAGCACTCTGGCTGTTTCCATCAGCCAATCAGAGTGCGAATAAAGTGTTATGGACAGACAGACAGATATAGGCTTTTATAATATTAGAATAGAATAGCGGACAGGTATCTGGATGTGAGCCCCTAGTATGATCCTTGACAAATAAATTTCATGCAATTTGTGCGTGTATAAGAAAAGGAATAATAATAATAAGTAGGTGTTAAGAAGATGATTTTTATTTCTGGATACAACATTAGTGCAACTGATGCAAAATACTGTACCCAGTTCTGGTGGTCATGTTTTAAAAATGATTATTAAGAAACTAGCAAAGTGCCCATCAAGAATGAACGGTGGGCAGTGGGGACAGAGCGCCAGCACCCACCACCCTGCACTGCCACTGCTGCACATCCACCCCTCCCCATGTCCAGCCCCATGCACACCCACTCCCCACACACACACACCTCAGACATACACCTGCACGCCACGCCCAGCCACACACCCCATACATGCCACACACCCAGCCAGCCACATGCCACATGCACGCCTCCGCCTGCCCCCTGCTCAGTGTGCTCTGCAACCAGCATGTGCTCCTGCTGCATGGAGCGGTGTGGTGCATGGATGCAGAATGCCGCACAGGGAGAAAGCATGGGGGTTGGACCACACCCTGCAGCTACATGCTGCAGCCAGTGAGTGCTGCCCGCACCCCCACGCCTGCTGCCCTTGCAGCACCCTGCAGCCACGCACCACACCCTGCTGTGTGGGGTGCGCTCCCCGCACCAGCTTCCCTGGTAGCAACCTGTGGCCTTGCACCCAGGCAGGAGCTCCCCACGTGGGGGGGGAGGGGGAGGGGGGGGCAGGGCTGGAGTGAGGCGCAGCCATGTGCTGCAGCTGGCGGTTACTGCCCATGCCCCCCCTGCCTGCTCTCAGTTTCATAGTTTCATAGTTGGTAGGGTCGTTGGTAGGCCTTGAGATGTTCCTGGATACTTTTTGTTAGCCAAAGGGGCTTTTGAGCACTCTTGCTCCCTTTGACCCTTGTTGGGATTGCCACCCTTTGAGCTTGGAGGATCATCTCCTTAAGGAACGACCACTCTTCTTGGACTCCCAACTCCCCTCCCCTTCAGGGCCTCAGTCTCTCCCCAACTAATCTCCTTACCTCACTGAAAACACGCCTGCTCTCTCTGCGGCACTTTGCAGCCATGCACCCCACTGTGGTCGGCGGGGCAAGTGGGGGGAGGCAGGGTGTGGGGCTGGGGTACACTACCTGTAGTATGCATGTCAGGGCATGCCGTCCACGCCTGCTCCCTACACGACACCCCGCAGGCATGTACTACACCCTTCCCATGTTTTGGTGCTTCTGGCATGGGGTGGGGCTTGGCACATGGCTGCTGGGTGCCGTGTGAGGAGCGGGCAAGGGGGACACGCCCCGCCCCACCCCACCCTGCAGCCATGTGCTGCATTTGGTGGGCGTTGCCCATGCCCCCTGCCCACTCCCTGCGTGGCACCCTGTGTCCACGTGCCATGTACCCCCTCCCCCTGCATGAGGCTCACTCTCTGTATGGCACCCTGTGGCTGTGTGCCTGGATAGGCATTCCCTGCAGGGGGCAGGAGAAGGGTGTGGCCTTAGTGTGTTGAGCGGGCAGGGTGTGTGCCCTGCCCCCTGGACACATGCTGCATTTGGCGGGTGCTGCCTGCACCCCCCTGCCCACTCTCATCACAGCACCCTGCAGCCGCACGCCGTGCTGCAGGGGGCAGGTCATGCAGTGGGAGCAGGGCACAGGGCCGCAGGGTGTCACACAGGGAAGGGGCATGCTGCCTGTGGCACACGGGGCAGGGTGCATCCTCCACGCCTGCTCCCTGCGTGGCACCCTGTGGCTGCGCACCGTGACCGCCCCCCCCCCCCCCCCCGGGCGGGGGGGGGGGGGG